TAGATACTCAATTTGGGCCCAACGGACCGGAACAATTATAGAGAAAGCAATTTCCTTGTTACACAATAATTGGATACGTAAGTACACTTCAACACTATAACAATAACCACATCGACTCGAAATAAAATGAAATGAACAATAAAATTAAATAAAAAAATTTCTAAGAAAAAGGGTCCGGGGACTCGAGATAACTAACCTGAGTAACGCGGGGCGTTACAATATATTTGATATACCCCTGATATACAAGTGGATAATGTCCCGAGAATAACCTAAAGGGTCTATAGTATATGGATAAGGCTGGATACCTTATCCTGACAACACTATGGATATGGTCCACTTTGTAAATGTTACAGACGACTCGATCCAGGTCGTTCGTGTGGAGACATGCGATTGAGGGTATCCTATACAATGAGTTTGTATAAGACCGGGCCGCGAAATAACCAATCTTTATATATAACACCATTAACTAACAGATTGCTATTTTTTAGGATGATCATGCAACTCATTCTCAATCTTGAGTGAGTTATGGACTCCTACTCGTGAGGACTCGTCCTTTGATCTATATGGGTGAGAGTGACCCGAGTCGCCGACTCAATATTCCTATCATTTTGGGAACGAGATCGAGTGGGGAGCTGGCAACATAACTCACACGATGGAATTCATTTCTCCCCAACTCTAGGGAGTAGATGAGTGTTCTCTCAAATGCTGACTCTGGGACTTGAACAAGGTGCCCCACCCTCTCAATGGCCTGATAGGGACTTCCGGTTATTGGTCGGACCATAATCGGGTTGTTCATTAGAGAAGCAGTGGTATTTAAGAAGTAAGACGTAACTCAACAGTGAAACGGTAATTTGACCCAACTTGAGTTACGAGCACTAGTGAAGGATTGACTTGTCATTAATGGTCGTTTATCCATGGACACAAAAACATTCTACAGTGAAAAAAGTGCAACTGCGGGTCTTTAGTGGAGTGACCCGTAGTTAACGAATGTTGATTAACTCTGTCAATGAGTTTGACCGATTAATCTTGTATCGTTAGAGCTTCTGATCTGTAAGTCCATTAGGTTCCCTCGCTGGCTTACAATGGGTAAAACGAGGATTAAGTTTTTGGAAAATTTTAAAATGTTCAAATTGCTCAAGAGATTATATGTACATTGATACATTATAATATATAGTTAATTCTAAATTAAAACTATCTATTATGACAGATATTATTTGAATGAGATTCAAATAAAATTAATATGAATAAGATTCATATTAAAACTAGAGGTTGAAAATAATGTGCATAAGATGTATGAGAGAAATGCTTTATAATATGATTCTAATTTTGTAATAAATAATTAAGTGTTAATTATTTATTTGATTTATATATATATATGTTAATTAATTGTTAATTTGATTAATAATTAATTATTATTTACTAATGAATATGATTATTAATAAATTATATATATATTAATATTAATTATTAATCGATAATATTAATTAATTAATATTTAATATTTAACTCCCCTAGGAGTGGGGAGTTTTATGACGTGGGGTAACTCCCCACGTCATAAGATTGGTTTTGTTTTGCAAAAAGATTCTGCTTAGTACAGAACAGAAGAACTCCTAGTAGATCTTTCTCAAGCTCCCTCTCAATTCTCCTACTTGTTC